GTTAAAATTATATGTCTAGCGTTAAAATGTTGGTGACACAATAATTTCATCCTAGTGGTATTGGCATATTCATAGGGTTCATTTTTGAGAAAATATATGATGAGTTAGTCATGGTTTTGTAAATATTCCACATTGTAGTGCAGTTTGCACAAATTGCTTTAAAAATGCACTCTACAAACATTACTGATGAGTCAAGATCTGCACAAATTGACAGAAACTGAAACAGAAATGAAACAAGCTGCCCATTTTATTGTTACTGTCATGTCCTATTTGTCAGGTAACAGAAGAACCAACACAAAGCTCAGAGAGTAATGGTGACACAAGATCACAGGTGAAGTTGGATGATGACTTGGTGGTTCATTACTGTATTTGAAGCACATGTGTGACTGCATGTATTTGGAATGTCTCACTGTTATTTATCAGGTGACAGAGGCAGCGGTGTCATGTTGTAGCTCGGACAGAGGTGAAGAGGAGAGGTCACAGGTGACTGACTGATGATTTGGTGCTATAGATTAACTAGTATTTATTATCATGATAATTGTTAGGCTGCTGATGTAAATTGATTCATTAGTATATATTTGATAAAGAATCTGAATTGACACATTTTATATGGCACGAATCAATGTGTTATTTTATCAGGTGGCAATATGTCCTAGTGCAGTCAGAGGGGAAGAGCCAGGGCCAAAGGTGAGGCACATCAAGGACATAATAATAATTTTAATCTGAGGATAAAACGCATGTACTGAGGCTGAAAGAAGCTTCAGTGCTCTCAGAAGACTAAAAACATGGCTAAGGTTAACAATGACTCAAATGAGATTAAACAATGCTGCTGTATGCCATGTCCACCAGGAGAGACTGGACAGTATAGCTGCAAAACAAATATGCCAGCAGTTTACCTCAGTTAACGAGAGGAGCAGGCATGTGTTTGGCTCCTTCACACAGTGGACATTGAGTTGTTCTGTGGGTCACCAGTAGTCCATGTCCGTTGCTGTAACAGTAGTTCATGTTTAGAATAAAAGATCCCAGCTCACTGACTTAATAGGGGCAATAGTGTGCCTAAAATGTTGCATAATGTTGCTGAGAGATCTTTTACTTTGTGGTAATTTTAGATGAGTAGCTTTATGGACAAAAACCACCAGGTCATTCAGTGTTCCCTTAGTGCTAATGTATAAGAGATGTTGGTGTACTATAACTGAAGTAATGTTGTTAAGTCCTTAAAGTCATATTCTTTTATTGTCATGAATCTATTTTTATCTTAGTATGATACCTGATATATATGGAATATGGCTTAAGTAAACTAAAGCCTAAAATACTTAAGTAATTTAACATTATATAATTCACATATAAAACTAAGAATTGTAATTTTAAATGGTTTAAAAGCATGTAGAATAGCATATGTAGGCAAGCATATTTCTCCTTTTTTTGTTATTAAGAAGCAAAGACAAGAAGGGGGGAAAAGAAATAGGGCAGGGTTCGGTGGTTGAATCATCTGTCCCCACCAATGCCAAAACCTAATCTATGCCCTTGGATTGCAGAAAGTACTCTCTCTGTTCGTGTATTTAAGGGCTACAGCAGACGCAGCTGTTTTGGTGGGAAAGAAGCAGCCTTTCTGATTGGTGGATTCAAATTTAGCAGCTCCAGGCTGTTTGACTGACCTAGATACACAATGGCCACACTCTTAAAAGCCCCAGTTAACTTCACGGTCTTTGTGTGTGTGTGTGTGTGTGTGTGTTTCGATGACCCAAATTTCGGATGGTAACACCTACTTCTTTCTGGCAGAAATCATCATGCCCCTCCCATGTAATACCTGTAATCGAGAGTATAGAGTATGTCTGGGGAGTGTGAATGTGTGTATAGTGTTCATTTCTGTTTTTTCTCCATGTTGGGCAAGTGCTGAGTATTTGTATTTCTGTTAATAAGGGTGGGAATGTATGCTTTTGCCTGTGTGTGCCAGTTTGTCTTTATCTATGAGTCAGGTCGAGTTAGGAGTCAGGTCAGCTTCATGCTCTTGGGGGGTAGGGCTATGGCTCCCCAAACCCTCAAGCAGATCTTTGCATGGAGAAACCTTTTGAACTAAAGAGCGCTCATGTGCACAGGTGTACACAAGGGTGCTCACATACACTACAGTAGGTACCAAAAGTATTCAGATGCCTTTAAAATTTTCACTCTTTGTTATATTGCAGCCATTTGCTAAAATCATTTAAGTTCATTTTTTCCTCAATGTACACACAGCAACCCATAGTGACCGAAAAACACAGAATTGTTGACATTTCTCTAGATTTGTTAAAAAAGGAAAAACTTAAATATCACATGGCCCTAGGTATTCAGACCCTTTGCTGTGACACTCATATATTTGACTAAGGTGCTGTCCATTTCTTCTGATCATCCTTGAGATGGTTCTACACCTTCATTTGAGTCCAGCTGTATTTGATTATAACCAACTGGTGTGGTTTTCCATAATGTTTAGTGAAAGAAGAGATCATGTCAGAATTTGCTTGTCTCATGTTAGCATTGTCATGATGGTACTGAATGTAAAATAGAACACAGGACTCGCAAACAGGGAAATAAACACAAACAGGAAGCTTTATTTTTGTGGCAAAAAATACTTTCAACTGCAGAAAAAATTAGAACCGTTTTTTTAAGGAGGCGTTCATGGGGCCATATCTTGACAAACACGCACACACACAGTTGCTCTTTGTTCACATATATGCTTATTTAAGATATCACATGTTAATGAGACTATGCATATTCATGTGTGTAAACAATAAAAGCAGCCTGCAGGGGGAAGCAAGTTGAAGTGAGTTGGAGACAACTGCTTCCCTCTAGTGAGTGAAAACTTGAGCTCTGTGTGACCTCGTTCCTGAGTGAGTTTCTGTTTATCCAGCAGTATCAGGGGTAAAACTCTGACAGGGGCGACATGGGCGGTTGCCCAG